CCTGCTGACAGGATGTGGTCTTCCCCTAGCAGCCAGGGCACAAATAGAAATTAATGAGGTTGCATCTGTCTTTCAGTTACCAAGCTAAAATTCTTAGAATAATTGCTGTAGATTGGCTCTCTGGTGTGGCTGCAGTTCCCTGTAGCTGATCACCACCTGGTTTGGCTTGATTTTACAGAGGTTTGTCAGTCTCAATTGCTGTATTTTCACACATATAACCTGCAGGATTTCCTCTAATGAAAATGTGTGATTCAGAAGTATAGGAGGCTGCATATATGAATCTACTTTAGATCTAGAGGTGCAGCACCCAAAATTGCTCATAAACTGCTCCCATGCCCCAGGAGCCCTACTGATTGTGCCTTTCACCAACACATGCCAGGCTGGGCTGTATCAGGTGAGCAAACAACTAGCTGTATTTTAATCCCCATCTCTCCTTTTCACCCATAGGCTAATTTTGACACAAACTTTGAAGACAGAAATGCCTTTGTGACTGGCATTGCCAGGTACATCGAGCAGGCGACGGTGCACTCCAGCATGGTGAGTCCCCTGGACACTGCCCCAGTGATGCTGAGCCTGTGGTGCGTGCCCTGCTCCAGCAACGCCTCTCTGTCTTTCAGAATGAAATGCTGGAAGAAGGCCATGAATACGCTGTGATGCTTTACACATGGAGGAGCTGCTCTCGAGCCATCCCCCAGGTACCGTAGAATCACAGAATGGCTTTGGTTGGAAAAGACCTTTAAGATCATCGAGTCCAACCATAAACCTAACACTGTCGGGTCTGCCACTAAACCATGTCCCTAAGCACCACATCTACACATCTTTTAAACACCTACAGGGATGGTCCCTCAACCACTTCCCTGAGCAGCCTGTTCCAATGCTTGACAACCCTTTTGGTGAAGAAGTGTTTCCTGGTATCCAATCTAAACCTCCCCTGCTACAACTTGAGGCTGTTTCCTCTTGTCCTATTGCTTGTTACTTGGGAGATGAGACTGAGACCCACCTCACTACACCCTCCCTTCAGGTAGCTGTAGAGCGAGAAGGTCTCCCCTCAGCCTCATTTTTTCCAGGCTAAACAACTCCAGTTCCCAGTTTCAGCATCCCAAACTGCTGCCCAGACTATGGGGTGTTCTCTCTGCTCCTGCGGGAGCCCCAGAATTGTGGGTGTTGTGTGAGGATGCATGAAGGAGCACTTTGATATGCCAGAAACATTTCACCCTTTCTTGCTGCTGATGTACCTGAAGGTCCTGATCTACCCCTACATTTAATCGTTCTCCTCCTCTACTGTTAGTTTTGCTTCAACTGTTTTCTAGTGCTTCTCTCTCCAACCTGAATTTCGGTGGCTTCATCCTGCAAACACCTACAGACATGAGTAAGGTTGCCAACGTGGCCCACTGATCATGATTCAGACTCCAGCTCAGAGCTTGTCTTCTGTAATGTGAACACGTGCTGGATCACTGCAAAACACCAAGAGGCAGCACGGCAGGGCGAGTGCAGTGCACTTCCAGTAACCCTACGGCTAAAAGGGTTTGCAGCGCTTCCATGGAGCCAGGAAGAAATATTTCCACATGGCTGACAATGCCCATGTTTGTGATTCCCCAGGAAAGGTCAAACCTCAGTTCCCCTGGGGTTATACTCTGCTCTCATGGTCTCATGAGACCCAGCCATGGAGAGATTTCTGTTGCTGATTGGATATTTTCTTATCTCCCATTTATATTTGATGCTGTGCTGCTGTTGCCTCTCCTGGCTATGATAAGAGAAGGCAGGACACGGCTGAGCTGATGGCAAGGCAGTGCTACAGATCATCTGTTTTGGCATTTTAGTGTCCTCCCATCCCGATCACCCCCATGACATTTGTGCCTCTCCAAGTGCAGTTTGCGGGGTCCCTGTTCTCTGCCTTGTCCTCCCCTCAGAGCTGCAGATAACACCACAGCAGACACACCAGATTTGATCTTGCAGTGACCCCTGTGCTTTGCCATGGGGCACATCGCTGTGGCTGGGGTGTCCTCAGCCCCCCAGCCTGGCTGCTCAGTCATGTACAGCTCCCTGTGCTACATCAGGGATGGTGAGTTTAAAGGTGAAGAACAGAACCTTCACCTAAATGTGCACCACTCCTCCCTGTGGTGAGCTGCATCCTCATGGCCATCAATATTGCCTGACTGCAGTATGAAACACCAAGGTGGGGACATTAGATTCCCCACTACAGAGAGGGCAAAGCTGCTTTTGCATCTTCCCACACATAAAGCCGGCTGATTTGTCCCCTCATGCCCTATGGATCAGCTGCTGGGCTACTAAATTTGCTCCAGAGTTGTCAGCCCCATCACAGCCTTGTGTCAGCCACAACTAGAAGCAAAACCAGAGGACAGCAGGATGCATGGCCTTGGGCAGATGAGGTTTTCCCTAATAGTTTGGTAATGACTCCAAGTAACTGTTTGGAAATGAGGTGGATGACAACTGAAGAAGTCCTTAAATTCCCACATTGTGTAGCAAGTCCAGACTCCATATTGCACGTGTTCTACCCAAGACAAATGCATTAGAGGACTTTTATTTCTCAGAGTCAGGATTGTGCCTGTTTATAATGCATGGAGAGAATTTCACATCTGAGAAACAGCCCCTTCTGCTGTCACCTGTTGTCTTGAAAACAAGCTCCCTCTCTGGTCCCTCCGTTGTCCTCAGATGGGGACAGGATTCACCATGGAACAAGCAGAAGATAGTGGCTGTTGCAGTCCACAGCTGTGTTAGAAAATCTGATGCTGACACAGATGATTTGTCTTTGCAATGCAGGTGAAATGTAACGAACAGCCAAACCGAGTGGAGATTTATGAGAAGACAGTGGAAGTCCTGGAGCCAGAAGTCACCAAGCTTATGAAGTTCATGTATTTTCAGGTAAGTGGTCAAGCAGAGAGGCAAAAATAATTTACTACTTTGGTGTTAATGTACCCTAAGCAAGGCTGTGCTATCCTTGCCTGCCAGGCCAGCTTGGAGAGCCCTTGGGTAGGTCTTTTCCTTGCAGCCACCAGCAGATACCAAGACCTGTCTGAAAGAAAATCTGTGTGCCCTCTGCTCAGCCCTGAAATCTTGCATACAAGTTGGGACTGAGCACACCTCAGCCCCTGCAGTTCACAGAGGACCACAGCCCCCACTATATGGAGCTAATGGGTGGCACAGACTCTTGTTTTTCAGGCGTGTTGGCTGGTGGATGTGAAGAGCTACTTCTCCACTGGCACCAGCACTGCTTGCTCTTCTGCTCTTTCCTCTGAGGCAAAGCCAGGAAGAGCTGAGGGCTCGTGGTGCAGCTGGTGCCTGGGGTGGGATAGGGTCGTGCAGCTCGACGCCTTCCTGCTGTGCCAGCAGGAACAGGGAGGTGTTCACAGCCCCCTAAACTTGGGTCAGTTGGTAAAGAGCACCAAAGCTTAAATTTGGCAGTTGCTACACTTGAAGCACTTGATAAAATAATACACATAGATCCCAACAGAGCAGTGACCACATGGCAAACAGATCTGCTGTGGGCTCCAGGGACCTCTCCCCATCACTGCCTGCATTTATAACTGTCTGCAACTGGGTTTCACCATCATTTTTAGGTTTTATGTCCTATGAGGTCTTTATGCCCCATCTAAAAAACTGAAGCCTGATTTTGAAGAGCACACCACACTTGGGTCAGGCACAAATAGACCCCTCTAGCACTGGGGACATTTGACTCCAGGGCTTTGTAACGCTGCTTTGTTTCATTGCAACAGTGGAGAGGGACGCTGGAGGCTCGATCCCCAGCAGAAAAATGCTTTTGTTAAAGGAAGGAGGTGGTGGGTGAGTGGAGGAGGGTCCCACTGGTGGCATGGTGGCTGCACATGAGCTGCTGCTGAGATGACCCTGTCCCACTGCCTTCCAGCGCAAGGCTATCGAGCGGTTCTGCAGCGAGGTGAAGCGCCTGTGCCACGCTGAGCGGAGGAAGGACTTTGTCTCTGAGGCTTATCTCCTGACGCTGGGCAAGTTCATTAACATGTTTGCTGTCCTGGATGAGCTGAAGAACATGAAGTGCAGTGTCAAAAATGACCACTCTGCCTACAAAAGGTGAGAGGGGTGAAGCAGCGGGAATGGGGACAGGACTGTGCCTGGTCTGCCCAGCAGTGAGATCAGGGGGACATTGGGAGGTTGGAGGCTGGGTTTCTGCACTGTTGTAGGATCTCTTGGTGAGTTTAGCCTCACTGTGTTTCAGTTCCCTCTTGATAAAACAATAAAAGAGCAGAGCTGTACTGCAGGGGGGCTCTGAGGCTGCTGCATTGCAGCTGCAGGTGAAAGGGGGGAGATGGATGGTGTGTCTCACGCTGGGTGAGTGATCCTTGGTGATGCTGGATTTCTCCCTTCCAGAGCTGCCCAGTTTCTGCGGAAGATGGCTGATCCCCAGTCCATCCAGGAGTCCCAGAACCTCTCCATGTTCCTGGCAAACCACAACCGCATCACACAGGCAGGTCCCTTTCCTCTGAACCAGTTAACCTTTTTGTGGGTAAAGAGGCAATGATCTCACCAGGGCTAAGAGTGCTTCAGACTGGGCTTTGGCAATAGCTGCCTTGTTTTTTGGGTCATTGCTACTGATTCTTGATGATTTTGGGGTCAGGCTGTATAATTCTAGCAATATCTCCTTGTCATGAGTCATCCTGAGTGGCTTTGAAGGTCTCTTTATGTCAAGACAGGGATGAAGGTCTAAAAGATGCAAGAAGAGCTTTTGTGGGGAGTTTCTGTGAGAAATTCTTCCCCTGTTTTTCCCCAGTAAATCCATCCAGTCCATCTCTGCGACTGCATGGGGACTGGAGATCAGACCCAGGGACCTCCACACTCCACAGGCTCTATAGCTTCTACAAATCAGGTAGAATACTGCAAAGAGACAGGAGAGAGTCAGCAGAGAGTCAGCAAGTCCTGCAGAGGGAAGGTTGTTCCTTACAGGTGGTACCATGAGGTCAGTCATCTGCCTGTAACTTAAGAAAAGCACACAGATGAGGTTTGAAGAAACCTCTTATCATTCTGCTCTTAATCCTTCAAATATGTTTCTCTTCTGGTTCCTCCTGTCCTCTCTCCATATGGGTAACATGGCCCCTGTTGATGTTTCAGTGTCTGCACCAACAGCTAGAGGTTATCCCTGGCTATGAGGAATTGCTGGCTGATATTGTCAACATCTGTGTGGATTACTATGAAAACAAGATGTATCTCACTCCCAGTGAGAAACACATGCTCTTAAAGGTGAGATTTGGCCATGCTTATAGGGATGGGTGCTTGCATAGTTTCACTTTTAATTTTTTTTTTCAGTAAAATGAAATTTCATCCTGGGACAATGTTTCTCTTAATTTTCTTTATTTTTTTCCTCCTTTGGGTTTACATGCATCCCTTCTCAGCAAGGCCAGCATCCTCTGGACAGGGGTTGCTATGAGATGGGAAGGCTTTGCAAGTGCAGCAGTGAAGCTGCCTTCCTCCTTCCCTGTTTCCCTTCTGATTTCTGTTACTTTGTGTCTTCTTCTGCCCAAGTATCTGCTTGTTTTGTATATTTGTCCTTACTGTGAGTTAGTTATTACAGTGATTGCAGCCACTATTACCATAAGAATATAATTACAACATTATGAGTCAACTAAGGTTCTGTGAAGGATAATGTGGGTAGTTTGAATATCTGTAATGATTTTTACTGAATTAAAGGGAAAAAAAAATCAATCCAGGAGAATATTTGAAAAGTTTTCAATTCTTCTCCAGGAGTAAATATTTGCCGTTAGGTGGAGAAGGCTTTTGGGTTGTTGTTAAGTGGGAGAGAGGAGGAACAAATTACCAGAGTGAGCATCATGTTCTTTTGCAGAGAAAACAGAAGCAGTCCATCGTGTGTCCTGTCCACCATGTACATCCTTGCCAATACGTGCATGTTTTATACTGTCTTCTCATGCTGGTTGGGTGGTACAGGAGCCTGAAATGGTCTTTCCTTACGCTAAGTGATGGAGAACTGTCTTTGACTTGTGCTGCTGACTTCACCCTAATGAAACCTAGCCTTTCTGTCTTCTCCAGGTGATGGGGTTTGGCTTGTATCTCATGGATGGGAATGTCAGCAACATTTACAAGTTGGATGCCAAGAAGAGAATCAACCTCAGCAAAATAGACAAATTCTTCAAGGTCAGTGACCTGTCTGGGTGAGGCTGGAGTTTATTGCAAACCAATGAATTAGAGACCCGTACCATTGCACGTGCTGCCAGCGAAAAACAAACTGCAGGAATCATTTACAGGTCCAAAAAACCCAAAGGGCTGAGAAATTATCTAGGCCAAAGGCTGAGGAATGCGATTGCTATGAACATGCACGGGCGCAGAGCTGCAGCATGGGTGAGACGAGATATGCTGGCCCTTGGTGCCAGCAAGGCTGTGGATGTGCAAGCAGTGCCCAGGGCTGGCTCTGCTCCCACGCTGCTGGTGCTGGAGCCAGGGAGCTGGTGGGAGCTGAGGGCCCTACACGCCCTTGCTGGGCAGCCGGCTGCCGCTCTGGCTCTACCTGCTTCCTGCTAAGGGACAAAGGATGGGGACAGCGCATGGGAGGTCTGTTTTGTGGAGGAGGAAAAGGTGTGCCAGAGTGACATTGCTTCTATCTCTTTGCACATTTCTGAGGCAGGTTTGTAGTCTCCTGAGGACCACTGTCATTTCAGGCCACTGTCAAACCTGGCTGGTTTGCTGAGGTCTGGGCAGGTGATGGTTGCACTCCCCTTTACCTCAGCAAGCTGCTGAGCCGAAGGACAGGGAGGACAGCTGGTCAGACAACATGTCGTCTGGCAGTCTTCTTTCGTGTATAAACTGTGCTCCTTGTAGGACAGAAAAAGCTTCTTGGGGAGCTTATGTTGGCTGGAACTTGGAGGTACTCAGAAAGCTCCTCAAAGGGCTCACCTGGTGGTTTGATGAACTGTTTTTGTCCTGTCTGAGATCTGGGGTTTGGGGAAAGGCCTGCAAGAACTGGATGCTCCCAGTGACAGGGTGGGAAGCAGCCATGCAGCCTCCCTCTGCCCATGCACATGTGCAGCTGAGTCCAGCTGATCCACAGCTGGAGATTTGGGATAACCCTGTTGCTTGCTTCCCCCCAAAATCTGGTGTGTGTCCAAGCCACCAACCACCAGTGGCAGATGGAAAGGGGGGCTGAGACCCCACACAGCACTGCCTGTGATGTTCACAGGGGAAATGACACCTCCTTTCCTTTGCTTCTGTGCACAGGCTGGGTCTAGGAGGCATCTCAGGTTTGGGGCAGGTCAGTTCTAGGGCGCATGGTGGGATCTGGCAAGGGGTGAATGTATTGTCAGCAAAGAATAACAGTATAGCAGGATGACAGCAGAGGAACTTCCTAGATGGAGCAATTAGTTTTCTTTTAGACCTACTGAGCTTGAGCAGTCCTCTTGAGATAGAAAGATTAGTTTGTGTTACCAACATTTGCTCCATATCAGTGAAAATGAGAGGATGATGATTTCTGGGGGGCACAGAGGGCTTCTTCCTCATCACTCTTTCAGCAGAGTGGCTTCTCCCCTCTGCTTTACCCAGAGAGCTGCTGAGGAGCCTGGAAGGCAAAGTCGGTGATGGTGACAGGGTACAGAATACCTCCCTGCTTATTGCCCCAGCTTGCAGTTTATAGATGATGTGCTGGGTCTGTGCAAGGGGAGGGGACGGGTGAGCCCAGATAGCTGGTTTCATGAAAGGTTGGTGTACCAGCTGCTGCATCCTCACCCCCAAGTGAGGACCTATTTACCCCAATTTGCATCATCTCCTGGAGACAGCTCTGAGAGCAGGGCTCAAACTCCCACGTAGGGAACTACGGACAGACACCATAACCTCATGGACAAGGCCATAATGAGGTGGTTGAGTACCCTCCAGTCACTGGGGAGACTGCTGAGGACTGCAGCTCTGCAAAGGTGATGTATCAGGCCATCCCTCAGAGTCTTCTGAGTTTTCCCTGGTTCAACTTTGCTAATTCAACTGCATCTCAGTTTAAATCAAGTCCTCAGTGAAACCTGTAGAGTTTGGTCATCTTGGTGCATTCAAACAGATTTGCTGTTCATTGCAAAGTGCTGTGGGCCATCAGAGAATCAGGTAAAATATCTTCCATTGCATGGAATAACTTTATCCTTTCCAGCTTTTTTTCCATCTGCACTTCAACATCTGTTGTGGTCTCACCTAATCAGTTAAGTACCACTCCAGACTATCAGATCTCAATAAGAAAAGGCCAACTACTCCTCTTACTACATCTACTTATTGCCTTCTGATTAAATTTCTAGTGGATTGACCAGGAATTTGAGTAGTGAAAATGAACTACCCCTCCATTTAAACCTTTTATGAAAGTGCCACTGGGAATCCCTGATGACAGCATTGCACATCCTTCGCACAAGTCAGCCTGAGAAGAGAAGCATGTGATAATAGGACAGGGACTTTGCCACCATCTTCCCTGAATTTTGGGGCAAGGCTTTTGTAGCTGGGTGAATTTGAAGTGTCATATTTTATGGAAGAGATGTTGGTAGCTCCTGGTTGAATTCTGTTTGCAGCTGAAAGCTTAGTGAAGCAGGGACCTGTCTGAGCTTGAGGTACATTCAGTGCACTTTGAATTTATTTCCCATCTAAATCCTCCTGAGATGTAAAGGGCAAGCAAAGCCACGTTATATTGCAGGCAGCCATTGCCTGTATCGTTCTCTTCATGGAGAAGTTTTAAGACACATCACTAGCAGCCGCAGTGCCAAAGTACAGTCTGGGGAAAGTTGCTACATCTCTGGCAGTCCAGGAAGCAGAACAGCCTACAGCTCTCCCTGAAGGGACCTGCAGCACCTTGCTGCCAAAATACCAACGTGCTGGCGTTTCGTCCCTCGGTGAGGGTTCTTGGAGGATTATGGTGGGAGGCAGTAAGCCCTGATGGGGAATACACTTCTCTGTTTTTGCTATAAAAGGAGCCTTTCCTCTCTCTGGTTAAGCACTGAACCGTTCTGGCAATAACCAGCCAGTATGGGCGAGTCCAGAGCGCTTGCAGGGGGTGATTTTCCTCACACAAAAAGCCTTGTGATCATTTTTGGTCACTTCATAGGTGTGAAATGACACTACATCCAGTTTTCCACCTTGCTTTAAACAGTTTGACACTTTCTATAGCTTCAGAGACGCAGGGTGCCGTTTTGTAATCCCTTGTGCTGCGCTGGGACCACGGGCTCCCTCTCCACCGTGTTTCAACCATCTTTTGTTTTCTTTTCCAGCAGCTGCAGGTGGTTCCTTTATTCGGCGATATGCAGATAGAACTGGCCAGATACATTAAGACCAGTGCTCACTATGAGGAAAACAAATCCAAGTGAGTGCCTGCCATAATGTCTCTTGGCTTCTGTGTGTGTCCCGAAAGCCGTGGGAGCTGCAGCTCTCTGGCGTGTGTGAGGTCTGTGCACGCGTACCTGTGTGTGTCCCTGTGAGGTGTGAGTCCCGGCATGCCAGCTGGGCGTGCACGTGTCTGCCTCCCTGTCCCTGCATGGGAAGATGTCCTTACCGGCCCCTGAGCGTGTGCGTGTGCAGCCAGCTCCAAACCTACGTGTCACTGTACCCCTGGGTGCAGGCAGGGGAGCGGGCATGCTTGCACGTCTGCTCCTGCTGGGAGGGTGCGAGGTGGCCGGCAGCGAAGCGGCTGGTGCATGGATCAGGGCAGCCACTGAGTGCTTGTGAGGTGTGCACGCCCGGAGGTGTGTGAGTGTGAGCGGAGTGTCCCTGCTCTGGAGAGATTTTAATCCACATTTTTCATCTCAGGGACAAAATCCTCCAGAGCATGAACACAGCAGTGGATCTCTTTGCAGTAGCCAGGGTGTCTCCTGTCGCTCAGGCAAGTTTCATG